GCCAAAACATATAGAGATCAAATTACTGGCTGTTAAAGAAAGAATTCAGAGTGGATATGTGTCAATAGAGCATATTGGGACAAACTCCATGGTTGCAGATCCTCTTACTAAGGGATTAATACCCAAAGTTTTTCATGAGCACAATGATCATATGGGTGTAATATATCTTGAAGATATCTAGTTTCAGTGGGAATTTGTATTTCTGTGCTTTTCATATTAGACACATGTACTGTCATTTTGGATATGGTTTATGGTTAAAGTAATTTTCAGTTATAAAATTTTTGGTTTATTATCTCTGAACTCATTTGAAAATGATCTCACTGAGGTATTAAGGTAGACCAGTTGGAAGTAGGCATGTTAAGATCACATCACATGTAATTTCTATGCTACAAATCCATACTTGATCCATGTTATTCAGTTATGTTAATATACGTGACCATTGATGAGTTTAGTTACGATATAAGTAGCAAGAGCCACTTTGATCCTATATTGATATGATTGATGGATCGGGTTGTTTGGGGATGCATTCGGTAATGACAGCAAAATTCTGAGTATTCATAAGGTTATGTTTAATGCATAAATATAAGGTAACACATATAGCCCAAGCGGAAGATTGTAAGGATTTTAATCGAACATGTGGGCTTATATGTAAAATATTGTGTACTAAATTAAAGGCTATCAATTTTTGTTAAGTCCGTTTAAAATGATCTAATAAGGTTTCAGTATTTTGGGTTTCAAAGCATCTAATTAAGTATGGACTTATATGTGTAGAGCCCAAACCTGTTCCTAATTTCATGATGGGCCGAATTGGTCAATGGACCGTTAGTATAAATATATGGTTATAGTCTCTGGATCACATGTTGACTCCCATCTTCAGAGAGTAATAAAGGAATAACGTGTTCATCTGGAAGACTAAAACCGCAGGACTTGTTCATTGCGATAACCATGTATAATTCAGGTACGCTTCCACTTTTAGTTAGTAAGTTCTTGATGATCCAACATGAATGATCCATATGATAGAATATTATTTTCTCCAACACTGTAAACCCATCAGGCAATGGTAGAAGTGCAGGTTCCATATTTTCTTTTTGCTAATGATCAGCTTATCAAATGAAGGTCGATAAAGAGATTAGCTGAGTTCTTGTCCATTGCTCTATGAAATGAATGGCATCCCCATTTTATGCATTTCCTTGGTTCCTTGTACATAGATGTTTCAGGGGAGCCACATAAGAGCTGCGAATTGAAGTCGAATGGCCTTCAACAAATTTCAAACATCCGTAAGAAGGTTTGTAAATCTGGTACTTTGTTGGATTCATTAAATTGTTAGCTATGCATATCCAGTTCTCGAATTTTTTTGACACAAGTGTTCATTTTTCTTTTTAATTTTTGTTTGAGTGAATGATTCACTCTTCAGAGT